TATGGGTTTTTTTTGTCTAGTTGAATGAGATGATACTGAGCAGATCACACTTGTTACACGGATAAAACTTGCACTTTTGCTGATGCAGTGTGCTCATTCACCAGTTTTGAGTTGATCAGGGAAATTACACCTGGATGTACTTCTATCAAGAAGCCAGTTGAATATCACTATGATAAGGTCCCAGACTTGTTTCTTACAGGGTATTCTGAGGCACCTTATCTTGCTCTCTGTTTGAAACTGTTAATACAGTATGAAATACTTAAACTTTTGGTTGGTCAGAGACAGCAAAACAAGTCGGTGGCCCTGACTACCAGTAAGGGGCTCTGCTCCAGGTCTGAAGGGGGATGGAGTGTAGAAGGGGGCATCTCACTTCAGGGATGTGTGTCGTGTCTGAAGTCTGCTTTTTTGCAAGAGACTCGTTGTGATAGGCAGCCAATGCTAGAAGAGGAATTACATCTGTGAGTCCTCAACAGCATCTCCTTTCTGCACACCTAACCTTTCTTGAGGAGTCATGTTTCTCACTGGCTGGCTTGGGTAGCTCCTGCACGATGTGCTGGCTTCCCGAATTCTGTTCCTGGGCACCCTATGGAAGGGAGCCCCAACTCCCCAAACACCAAAGAACTGGACACCGCAGTGCTGTTGATTAAAACGATGTGGAAATGAGGCATTTCCCAGCACTAGGGAATTAAGCGGCATCAAGTTGCTTCTGCGTCATTTATCTTGATTTCCAGCAGGGTTGTGGTGCATAAGTGCAAATACTGATTTTAAATGGCTTTGTCTGCTCGGACTAGAAGTTTATACAGATGTAGGAATGTCAATAATTTTCCAGTTGAGAAACACCGTGCAGTTAAACTGTTCCATTAACTTCTGGTGCAGTAGTTACTAATTTCACATGCAGCGAGGTAACACAAAGAGTCAGTGCAGAACAACCACCGTGTTACCTGCTTTTAAAATTAAAATCCTGCAGTGTATTGTGTGCAGGTCTGTGTGTGTCATTAGAAACAGGGCTTCAAAGGACTGTGAGAAATCATCTGGCTGGCGGCCCTGACCCAAGGCACTCACCTGTCAGGAATCGTTTAGGTAGTTATGTAAGTGTCCCTGTAAATCTCTAGTGGTGGAGATTTTGTAGCTACTGCCATAAGTGATGTGTTTTACTGCTCATCTGTCCCAATGACCAGATTTTATGTCAAAATTTCTTCTGTTGCAATTTTGAGCTAATTACTCTTCTCACTGAGCATAGGAAGACTTTATTTCTTTCCTCTGTATGAAAGCTTGTCATATTTCTTCATAGTCTTTTCTAGACTGCATAACCCTGATTTTTTCTTGAATTTGATGAGAAATCTGAAAGAATTCTACTACCTTCACATTAATCTAAATTGCTCTTGACTCAGAATTGGATACAGTATTGCAGCTAAAAGTCTTACCTGTATTGACTGGAAATTAAAGCTTAGGTGTAAAACATGCAAGAGGCTGTTTATTCATCATGTTGTAAAACTGTTGCAAATTCATGCAGGTGAGATACTGAGTCATGTTCAAGTTTATGTTTACTGTAATCCCAATAAACTTTCTGGAGGAGCTGACACCCTGTCGTACTATTTGTTTTGGAGCTTGGTAGTTGATTCTTCCTACATGTAATGCTTCATCATTTTTATTTCAAATCATTGGTGTTGATAAACTGAAAATTTCTGCTGTCCTCTAGAGCTTTCAGTTCCTACCTTGGAGTGTCTCAGTTTTTGTGTCCTGTAATAGCATCAGCATCATGTGAATAATAGAAAGTTTTGGAATCACATAGGCTACCATAGAATTGCCAAATACATTATTCTTGGTAATTTCATGTTTTAAAATGGGCTTAAGGGGAGGATTGGAGAGAAGTGCATTGGGAGGTGCTGACACATGGGAACCACATCTGATTCTTAAAAGCCTGAGATTATGAGAAGGCCCAACACATGCATCCCATATCCTTAGGCTATATGGCAGGCACCACTGGGCTGCTTGTCAGAGATACAATATGTTCTGGCCATGGGGTTCACAACAAAGATCCATTTCTCGCTGCATTTGTTTTCAGGGCTATAAATAAACTATTGATACTTAAGTATGCAATGCAGCTTTTTGGCCAGTTGTGCCACCCATTATAAAGATTAGAAGAAATTACATTGTTATGAAACTGGTATCTGAAACACAAGGTCCACATTAGCACATCTGCTTTTCCCTTTACACAGCACTTACCAGTAAGAAAACTGGGGACATGTAATGATTCCTACTGCCAGTTCTATGCCAGCGCTTTGGGGTTTTTTCCTAGAAACTGAACTTAAGTTGATTTGGACTAAAATTCTCTTCTTTCTTCGTAGGCATCACACTTTTATTGTATTACCCACCTACGCTGCAGAAGACTCCCAAGACAATTGCTCCCCGTGCAGGTGACCTCAGAGGGATCCTGCACTGCCCTTCCCTGGAAGACATGCAACTGCCTTGCTCCAGATGGCTGCCTGGACACACTCCCATACTGGCAGTATGGCTATATTTTTAGCACTCAGAGACTTTAAGCAGGACCATCCCTTACTACAGGGAGTACCACTTGGCCACCTAATTCTATCAAGTTTTCCAAATTAGAGAAAGGAAAAGATTTTAAAATGCTGCAGGCAGTATGCCGAGTTCCATAGTCCCACTGTACATAATGTACCTTGTACAGACCTCTTTCATGTTTGTTTACTTTTAGGATAAAAAAGAATTTCCAGTCTTAGAGTCCCTAGCTTCTGAAGAATGAAAAAAAGCAGTGATGTGATCTGCGTGCTTTATGGAGTTGGGAGTTTTATAGTTGGTTTTAAGTCACATGTAAGTGATGACAATATCTGTGCTTCTGCCTTCAAAATAGGTCTTTTGATGCACTAGAATGTCACGTTGATATTTTTCAACATATACTACACTGATGTTGTACATAAATTTATCAGTAAGGTTTTTTCATGCATGGTCTAATATTTAGCAGGTAGGACTAAACACAGTGTTGAGGTTCAGAAGAGGTGTTAGAATGAACAGAGATTTCTAAAGGTTGTCATGTTATGAACTTTGTTTCCCTCAGTATCAGCTTCTAATGAGAAGGTGTTTTAGGCTTAAGAAAGCCTCAGAACTACTGAAGAGTGCTGACCTGTAGCAGGCAAACTTTTCATCTATAATACATAAAAGATCAGAACTTCCTTCTATAGAAGCTATGCCAAGTATGCAACTGGGAATAGAAAACTAGCTGATGAATGTGTTGTTAAAAGACATCTAACTTAAACTTCCCAAAGTTGTTAATTAGAGATTAGGCTGCAATTAAAAGCATAGTTGCTATCCTGAATTTAAAAGATTTAGAAAGACATGAAGACAATTGCCCTTATAGCAAAACCTTGATATTCTGAAGCATAATGCATATTTTATGTGTTAGTTCATCACATCTTTGGTCAGAAACCCCGTTGCTACAATTGAACAAATTGTCAAACAAAGATTAGCCTAAGACATGGTCAGTGAAATGGAAATGTGGATAGATAGTGGCCCATATAATAGACTTGGCAAAGATATTTTAGATATAATAACTTTTAACATTTTCTTTGTCTCACAGTGCATTTAATTGAGAACAACATCTCTTGATATTATAATAGTTAATGAAAGTAACTTGGAAAACACTCTTATATTTAAGAATTAAGGTTTAACTATCAGAGATGGGGGCAAACATTATGGGGTAAATGCACACAGTTTTGCAGCAAAGCATGATGTAAAAAGCTGGTACCAGCTAGCAATCAGAATTAATATACCAGAGAAAAGTAGATCTTGGATATTCTCCCTGTCCTCAGCAAACCATAGGTTTGGTTCTTTTACAGATTTATCTTAACTAGTGTATCTCTGTAAAAGTTCCTTGCTTGAATAATTTTTGTTGAAGGAGCTGCTTGTTGGACGTAACTACAGATGGAAGGAGCAATATACTAGCAACAGGGCTAGGTTTATGATAGGTGCTAGATGAAAATAACACTTTGATTGCAAATCCATAAGGGAGTGTTGCCAGTTTCATATTTGTTGCAAGAATTTATTGCTAATTTGTTTTCTGTATTAATACGAAAATATGGTGACACTTCACATCCTCCATAGCAATTTATTAAAACCTGCACTTTTAAACTGGGATCTCTGTCAAATGTAACAGATTGAATAATTGACATGTCCCAACTTTAAGATCTAAAATACAGAAGTGCAAAGAAGTTTAGTTCAGCATAGTTCTATATCCAAACTTCAAAAATGGTCTCAGACATTGAAATACAAACTCCTTTCAGTACCAATGAAGTTTGTATTCCCAATGGCTTTTTTTTTTCCAGAAGAGCTCAAACCTTGGTCAGCATTTTTTATTATCACCCCTGACTGGGAAGCAGGAAGCAAAGCTACTTGTGTTTGATGTTTTGAACATGAATCTTAAGTAGCAAAGATGTATCACCACCTTCCTGAGTTTTAGTGTATAAAGACGGTGATGCATGACACATGTATAGTGCATATATACAAATATGTGTCATATACATATACACACTCCATGTATATATAAATGTATATAATGTACCTGTAAGGGCCAAAATAAGGTTAAAGGGCCAAGCCAAATCAGAATTCATGAACTAAGAATTGGATATGCCACACATTAAAATGGAATCTGACATAATAGATGTGCTTTTACTGTTCTCACTTTCAATAGTGGGGAAAAAAAAAAAATCAGTAGTTTACTATTTGAAGATATTCCTAGTTCTAAAATTACTTCTATTTGCAACCAAAAATGCAGTAGCCGTTTTTTTTTGCAAAAACATTAGGTAAAATATTGGAGGCCAGATAAATTACTATAATTATGATAATACATTTGTGGAACTGAATTATAAAACTAGTAGTCCTTCATACAACCTTAAGAAAAAAAAGCTTTAAAAAAAACCTTTTGCCTTTGTAGAAAAGCATATTGGCAGTGTGCATAAAGAAAATATAGTAAGTCCATTTGGAGCTCAAGCTATACAGAAGTCAATATGTGCTAGTAATTCTCTGTGCTGGCTTGTTGGATATTGCACTTTACATCTGGGACACTCAAGAAAGCTTTCATCAAGAATGCTTGAATGTTTCAGGGTAGGACTGCTGTTATACATGGTGAGCTTCTCTTCAAATGCTGCTGGCAGGTCATCTTGTTGTGCCATATGTCCAGATTCCTGAAGTTTCTGGAAAATGAGAAGCTTCAGTGTAAGATTTGGACAGGCATGCACCAATAAATACTGTAGAAAAAAAACACTAAGGTTTGATGACACACCAGCCTTGAGTGTGTTGAGCACTAAGGGCAGATTTTTAACCACAGCTAAATGCAGTTATGCTACTTGTGTTAATAACAGAGGATTGAACAATTCTAACACCACGTTTAAATTAGATGCAGGTAGCTTTTCTGCTGACTACTTAAGACAGTTTTCCCAAAATGGGGTATCCCTCCCCAGCCACCTTCCTAGCCATTCACACACTACCTTTCCTCAGTAACACGATGTCTCAGTCCCTGCTATACAGAATGTTGCCTAGTTATCTTCCCACAAAACTATGCCATTGTTTTCTCTTCTCTTGATCCTACGTGTGAAGTTTCTGTGCATGAAAGCTCTCCCTAACTGTAAAAGCTGTCCATTTGACAGCTCCAACTTCCCTGCTCTGCCTGAACTCCTGCTTTCCTCCCAGCAGATAGAAGGATTTCCAGTGGCCTCCCCTAGCAGCAGCAACTTCAATCCCAGCCAGCGAAGCTCTCCTGGGGCAACACATGAGTGAAGAACATCAGTACCTCAAGATGCATTCCATTCCCTTCCTCATTTGAAAAGGCTTCCAAGCTGCATACAGTCAAGGAGAGCAGCCTGGCAGTCACAGAATTCCCCTCATCTGCAACTTGTTAGGAGCTTCTGCATTTATCTTCTCTGTAAAAAATCACAGTGGCCCCAGACCTGATCTAATGAAGGATGCAGGTATCCGATTTCCATTTCGCACGTGACTTAAGTCCAAGAACTGCAGTTTTGACAGTCCTGTTCAGCTATCACCTAATCTATCCCAGCCAGCGAAGCTCTCCTAAGGGCAACACATGAGTGAAGAACATCAGTACCTCAAGATGCATTCCATTCCCTTCCTCATTTGAAAAGGCTTCCAAGCTGCATACAGTCAAGGAGAGCAGCCTGGCAGTCACAGAATTCCCCTCATCTGCAACTTGTTAGGAGCTTCTGCATTTATCTTCTCTGTAAAAAATCACAGTGGCCCCAGACCTGATCTAATGAAGGACGCAGGTATCCGATTTCCATTTCACACGTTACTTAAGTCCAGAACCGCAGTTTTGACAGTCCTGTTCAGCTATTACCTAATCTTACAAGACACCTTAGAATAGAATTCCAGAGGCACCAGCAGTCAAAATGCCTTTCTGCCTAAGACCAGGGCAATCCTGGGTACAACAGAGCAAAACTGATCAATGGCTTGCTTAATCTGGGGTTCAAATCTAGGTGGCTTTCTGTGGGCTCACATAAGCAGCAAGCAGACTGCAGTCCTCACCATGTAACAAGTTTCCTTTTTTGTTGTGGTAGGGAGCTTGTGTTTTTGGAAATAGAAAACCCAGGTTTTAATGGCCCAACCCATCCTGTCTCAGATGGAGGCAGGGGAGGAATTCACTTTATTTAAGGATTGTATTCTGTTCACTATCAGCAAGTCTAAGTAGTGGCACACTGCAACTTTACCATTGTGCAACAGACACAAGTAGGTAACATGCTGAGATACAAAATACAGTTCTGTTCCCTGCTCAGCCACCTGACTGTTATGGATCTCTTTCTGCAGTGCTAGTTTTCCATGAATGCTCTAGAGAAAACTGATGCCTAGCTAGTTGACATAGGGTTCTGCACCTTGGGGCCACATCCATAACAAATGCAAGGACCTACACTGCGTATCTGATGACATTAACAGAAGACTCATTATGCCTGAAATAAAAGATCCCCAAGTGAAGAGGTGCACATTTATGCAAAATCCCTGCCTAAATCCACCTGCAGATTATTCAGTACCTACCAGAGGTTCCAGACAGGTTATTTGCTCCCTGGCCTTGCGCAGTTCCTTGAGGGCTTTGTTTAATTGATGCTGCAAGTTCTGGCGATCGAGCTTTTCATTCTCAAAGTCTGTGGTACATATCTGGATCTGGCAACCCCCCAAAGTGAAAATTAAAGAATTAAAGTCATAAGTAAGAGTTGGGGGTGGCAGCATGGGGAGAGAAATGTTTCCCCTTTATGTATTTAAAGTAAGTTTTACAATGCAATCATATCCCAAGATGGATTTTTAAAACAAAATAAACCCCAAAACTAAACAAATTAAAAAAAACCAAACAATTGTTGCTTTCATTAGTGAAATTCCTACATGCCCAGTTATGAAAATCTTCTCCCTTAGTAGAGGTGGAGTTTGAAGTTGTTTGACTGGAGGGTACTTCAAGCTATCTTGCAGTCTTAAACTGAACATTTTATAGGAAATTATATAGTGCGAGTTCTCATTAAAAATGCCAGTTTCTTGTAGCAAGATAATTTGGACAAGCTATGGCTAACACTGTACAGCCAAGCTCAGCAAGTAAATTTAACATTTTCCCCAGTAACATTTTTTCAAGTACGTTCTTACAGATCTTATTGATAAAGCAGATGGAAAAAGATATCATTGCAATTATTTGTAACTTTATCAAGAACTTTATACAAAACTTCAAGGAGCTGCTTCATTTTAGGATGTTTCCCATACCTCATCTGAGACCGTACAGCTGAGCAAGTGATAGTGGAGAAAACAGCATTAGTGTTGATCATGTTCTTATTTGTAAAAGGTTACAGATTTTCCTCTTGACAGACATGTCAAAATTTTTAGAAGCATCAAGCGATTATTCATTTGAATAGTCAAGTTTAATGTTACATTATTTAATATACTACTCATTTGTAAATTTGAAGTTAGTCTAGAAAGCCTTTGTATTAAGTATCAGCATCTTAGCATATAATTGGGTACCTGTTGTTCCAACAAAGCTATCCTAGTGTGTTCCTCCTGCTGTGTGAGCAACGATTTACGAAGAAGTTGCACCTAACAAGGAAGAAAAGCATTTGTATATGGAAGTTGTTTGTTACAACAGTTAATAAGCTTAACAAATAATGAATCTAAAAAAGGGAAGTAAGTAAACTTTTGTATTCCAACACCAACATAAAATGTGCAGCTGTTATGCAACAAGAAATACCTGTACTTCCCTGGGAAAAACCCCAGGGAAACATCATTATTGCAATGAGCAGGAGGAATGCAGAATGATGTTATAGTTCAAAAAAATCAAAGTGAACTTTCCTAGTTGATTGCCAGAATGTGGACAAAAATATACACTCAAGACCTACGTTTGCCCTAATGTGCCAAGATGTTCAGAAAAAACAAGCAATGCAATTTTTTTTTTTTAATAGAAGTGAACAAGTTTAAGACTCATGAAGTGCTGAACTGTGATGGAGTAACTAACAGAGCACATTTATATGTATGCATTTATCAGCATATATCAACTTTTACAGTGAGTGCTGCTGTTCAGCTGAAAAAAAAAAAAAATAGCAACACCTTTTAATCATTATTAACCAGTAAGAACCAGTTTATGTTTAGGGAGCTAAATTGCTATTCTGGTTTTAGCCTACTTTGGTACCTAGTACATTTTATTGTTATGTTTCAAATTTTAGTAATATATTCTTTGTTATTGACCTCAAACTTCTCCAAGTAGCAAGTTATCTTATTTGGATGCTCTGAGGACAGCCCTTCACGGAGGACTTCCCAGTTTCTCTTCAGCAGATATATGGCCATGATTTAATATCCAGAAGAACCAAGAGATATTTTGATGGTTTTTTTTTTTTTTTTTTTTCTGATTGGTCATTTTTGTTCTGTGTGGGTTTTTTTATTATTTTGTTAGTGTCACCAATTCCAAGAAATCACTAACTCTTCACGTAGAGGAGGTGCCAAAATCTTCATGAGTATTCCAAACTTAAGGAGGTAAGCACCGAATATTTTAAAATACAAACATATTGTGCATGCATGTCTTCCCCACCTCTGATCAGCCAGAGCGGTTAAAGTCACTGAACAATTGCAAACAACTAGAATCTGATACAAAAGCAACATAACAGATCCAGCAACAGTGGAAACAATGCTCATTGAACAGCCTGCCTGACGGGAGCTTCTTAGGCATTACAGGGAATTGCAGAACTCTTCTCAGTGGTTTCTACCATAGCTCTCTTCAAGACAGCCTGTCCCTTCCCTTGCTTATCTGATCATTGCTTTCTAGTACTCAGGTGTGCCTGTGTAGTTCTTATCTGTAGCATCATATAAGGAACCAAATGCAGGAACTCACCTGAAAACAACCAAATAAAACCCAGCTCCACAGCCACAGTGGTTGGCAGGGACACTATCCAGAGTCATAACTGCTTATCCAGTAGGTATGAAACCACGAGCTCATGTGTGTATTTGTACCAGACAGATGACTGGCAAATATCAGTGATATTCCACAGTCAGGACAACATGATAAAATAGCCTGCAGAGACTTGAATATTCACCTTTCCTGTTCTTATTTACGATTAACCTTGAGGATGAACTATATTAGAATCAAATAAGTATTCTCTCAGTTTTCCCTCTTGTATCCCATGAGACCCAGGAAATAATCAAACAAGTTCCTTGTTTCAACAAGGAAGTTTCACAGAGTTTAGATTTTGATTCAAATCAATATATTAAAGAAAGAATTCCATTTCAACCACAAGGATGTGACTCTAGATATACGCAAAGAACAGTTACCAGAACAATTGAGAGATGGTCTGTTCTGATGAACTATGAGTTTCAGCTCTCTGGATTCTTTGCTAATGATCTTAAATCTCCAAATGCATCCCCTTACCTGACATAAAAGATCTTCAGACTTTCTCTTTTCTTCTCTGAGCTGTCCTTTAATACTTTCATTTTCTTGTTTTAGTCTCTGCACTTTCTCTCCTATTATTTTATTTTCATTTTCTAGAGTCTTCATTTCAACAACCTGTTGCGACTGCAGTAAGGCATTTAAACTTGTTATTTCTCGCTGCGTTTCTTCATACTTCTTCTTGTATTCATTCAGTTCAGATCTCAGCTGGGTTATAGTGTGCCTTTCAGTCTGCAGATCACTCTTAGCAGTTAGTAACAGCTGGTCGTATTTTTGCTTTTCCTCTTGTAGATGACCTTAATGAGTCAGAAAGAATTAAGAATCACTTAAATATCAGAACACCAAATTCTTGGCAGCATTTTAAGGCATACTGATAGAAATCAACACTCTAGGCTATTACGCAGCTCTAACTGGCACCAAACTTTAAAGCAACTTTTAATACTTCTAATGCAGTAAAGTCTCCTTCCCAACATAGTTCCTAGAAAACTCTAACTTGGTTTGTGTATTCTGTGCTGCAGCTACTTCCGCCATTAACCCTTTGAGCAGCATTGCATCCTTTGCTGACTGCACAAGCTCTGTGACCCCCCCACAGTTCTTACACGGCCTTGCGCATTATCCTGACACATGGCAATCAAGGCCCAAAGCCACTGGATTCTCACTTCCAGATTTAGGCTCCTTAGCCAAGTTTCTGACATCACTCCCTCTCCAGAGACACCCTGGGGGATCTCACAAGTTCTCCTTCACCATAATGTTGTCCAAAACCAGACCAACCGTTACCTTCTGCAGACCATCTTCTTCAAATTGTATGCCATCATTTACCTCCAAAGTGCAAATAGAAGAGACTAGGATAGCTTTTTTCATAAAAAAATGCCTGCTTCTTGGCTAGTGCTTGTTACTTAAACTAGAGTTTGAAAGATTTCTGCTTGTAGATCCAAGAAAAGTTTAAGAAGTAGGGAAAAGAAAAGGGGCAGTGTGGAGAAATTCAGCAATTCAGAAATACAAAATATAACTAGCAGCAGAATAAAGAATGCAGAATTTCACAGGCATTGCCGATTTTTTGGCACTGTAAACTTCTTGATTTCATTACCTTTCCTATGGAAGGCTTCCCATCATTCTTCAAAGTGTAATTTACTAGGAAAAGTTTCTTGCTTGACTGCTGTGCATCCCCTCGACTATGAACTAAGCCTTACCTTCTCACTGGCAATACTCCTTGATAGGGTGGTGAAAACCTCAGAGTTACACCGTGTTCTACCTTGGAAAAAGTTGCCATATCTTCTTTCAACTTGTGTATCTAGGTTCTTAGAAACTTGCATTTCTGCTATTGTCTAGCTGCTGGAAGAGAGGAAGTTTCTTATACCCTTACTCCTAGTCTCCTGGCTGCTCTGATGACATAACATTGCAGTAACTCTAAGTTACATTACTTGGTGAGCTACTTCAGTCTACCTCCTTGGAAAATATTGGTCACAGACTTCTAAACAGCACCAAAACCAGATTATGGTGATATTTTACTGTTTTCCATAAAGATTCAAGCAGTAACACAGAAACCAAGTCACTGCACATGAATTACTAAGTGGCAAGTATCTGTGGGCATACTCTTACTCCAGATGATGCTAATTCTATCTAGCTAGTGAATTTACCATGCAGGTCAGTTGCAGCATATCTGAAACTAATAATTTGATAAAGGCAAGTCAAATCCTCCGGGTTCTGTTCAACATTGATTTTAATTTTATTCCACATGATGGAATAAAAGCACAACTTGAGGCCACCTGAGTGCATGATACCAAGAGGGTGCTCATGACTGAGGAACTGCACAGCACAAAGTTAAAGGTGGCCAGATCCATATTGCAAAACACTTTTGGATAGATGCCAAAACCTATCACAGGTTTTCATGCCCTGTGACAACTGTTCAGGTGAGTAAAGACCATGGCAGTCTTGAGTCATTTTTACAATATTTATTTTGAAAAAAAGTAAATTTCAAAAACTCGATCCACGCCTAGCTAATAAATCCTTAATGCTTCCATTATGTAGGTTGAAAGTGTACTTTGAAGGATGGGAGACATACATATATTTGCCTCAGCACTTTCCACAAACAGAGAGGTTGCAAATAGAGTGTCAAGGCTGTTAAAAACCACCTTTGAAGTAGATAAGAACATGAAATACTTGTTGATCAAGTAACATAGCTAGATAACAGGAAGCAAAGAATTTTACTTAACCAAGTTTTACCATTAAGAAACCAAAATGTTGAGAAGAAAGTCTTTATTTTGTTTAATTATGCTATAGTTTGTTTTTGGAAAACTTGTTCTATAGATATTTATAGTTTGGGTCACTTGGGGAGAAAAAAAATAAAGTAGATACCTTCTGAATTGCGTTGTTTAGATTCTTGCTGGCTAACAATTTCTGACTTCTGCTCAAGTTCAAAGATCCTTCCAAGCAATCCCCTGACATAAGCCTCACGTTGCTGGTCATACAGTAGCCACTGCTGGTTTTTCTCAAGAGCCTTCATGAAAAGGAACAGAAGAAAATCAAAAAAGCCTCTGGTAATTCCTCAGATTTTAAAAGTATTAATCATGTTTCTTACAAATGTTAAAAATTACATACTGTACGGAAACTGGTTACTTCTGCTGCAAATTGTAGTAATCTTCTCTGTGCAACAAAACTCATCTTCATTTGGAAAGATTAGTCAGGTTCTTGAACACAGGTTAAAATTGCAGCAATATTAAATACTGATTTCCCCAGTCCAAGAAGCCAATTACTTTAAAAAAAGGCTTTCCTGAGACATGTCCAGATTATGAAGAATTTATATTTTATATTTGCGATTGAAAAGTTCACCAAGAGATTTTGAAAATGGAATAAACTAAAACTGTACCCTTTCAACTTAAATTTGTAAGAACAAGGACATTGATTTTATGTCTGATAGCATCATAGAATTATTCCGGTTGGAAGGGACTTCAGGTTTCTAATCCAACCTCATGCTACCTCAGCTGGGGTGTTTTTTGTCAGCAATCATGTTGTTCTGATGTTCCAAGGAAGGTTTTTCAAAGATGATGGAATTTTTTTTCCTTTTTAAGTCAGCCTTTTTTAATTAGTATCTTGTTACAAAATAATTTTGGATATATTTTCAAGGGAAACATACCCTGTGAGGTCCCATGCTACCCAAAAAACTTATATGGTGCTAATTAACATTCTTATGCCTCTTGATACAGAGTATTTTCCTTGGCATGTTGTACAGGAAACTTACATCTTTCAGTTGTTCTTCAGCTTCACGAAGATTACTTGGTGATCCCATGGTGTTTGTTACAGCTTCCTGCAGACAAAGACAACCTGTTAGCATTCTTTAAAATAGATGCCTGAAATACTAAAGCTAGCCCTGTATAACTAATCTCATGTAAATAGCATAAGAATATTTTTTAAATGGAGAACAGATGCATTCACATGCCTTTTGTGTTTAAAGATCTTTGTAGAGCCTTTTAAAAAAAAAAAAAAAAAAAACACCACAAAGTTATGTAGACCATTTCACAGATTTAAAATAAAATCTGCAAGATATAGGACAAAGATTTAAATTATTCCATAACTTTTCAACTCGGTCACAGTAAAACATCTCCTAAGAAGACTATCATGCATCTTCTGCTGAACTGCTGCCTTGGAAGACCTAAAGGTTGCAGAAGAGCTTCTGAAAAATGAAGATATTTAGGGTATTATTTATACACACTAAAAAGGTGTTTGTTCTATTTTTGTATCCTTATAGTAGTTTGAGAATAAGCCAGACCTATAGCAGTTGTAGGGGAAAGTTAGAGACCTTGGCAATTTCACTGGGCTAACAGGAGGATTATAAACATCTGGGAAACCATGCAAGCCTGTCTGGAACCCTAAGGACTTACTGTGTGATTTTCTGGAACCTGATCCACAGCCGAGTGGTTGAGTATGAGACCCATCTGAAACTAGAGACCAGCTAAGCAGTTATGCTTCTTTCATAACCTAGTGTTTATTCACTACACAATAGCGGTTTTGAAATTGTGTAGATAAAAGTCAGAGGGAACTTTAAGGAGATAATGTGGATTACTATTCAAATCCAAACTACATTTTTCCAAGGTTCTCCTGTGATTTTTGGAATGTGATTTAGAGCAAGCTTTATAACTGAAAAAATACAGGACTTTGAATGCAATTGTTAGACTTCATCACTTTCTCTAAATCTTGTTTTTATTAGGAACTACAATTGTTCAGATTCCCATTTCTATGAACATTAGAACTCTGCCTCAGTGAAAGCTCTCAAAATTGCATCTTGCAGCTGTCATTTCCATTTCAGAGCATACCTGCTGCTCATATGTCATATGCCTAGCAGTTTCAAGCAGCATTGCTAGACGTGTTTTCAGGTTTGACTGGATATCCAGCCAAAACAGTCACATTTTGTTATCCTCTGTTCATAAATCATTGAAAAATTTAAAAGAAAATTCTGGTTTAAAAGATATTTTGGTAGTTCATTGATAAAAACAGCATGGAAAGCTGTTGAATTAACATACATTTTAACTTCTTTTAACAAAGTTCAAAGTCTCTTGGAATTTAAAATAAACACATTGCATTTAAAGTTCCCAAGATACTGCATTATTAGAAATTATACTTATGTATTATCATTGAAAATTAGTAGACATTTAATGAAAACATTTTGCTATATATTTGGCTAAAGCTGAATTTCTAGAAGCTACTCAACTTCCATGTAGAGTATGGGGAATCAGCACCATCTGCAGGTCAAAAGCTGAGAAAGATCTGCAGGCACCTTCTTTCAGGCACCAACTTCCCTGTGCCCTGTATTGAGATGCTATTGCATTTTCCATGGAACATCAGAACAGGCAGGGCTGGATAAACAACTGTAGAAAACTAAATGCATTTGTGAAAGCTGCCAAGTGCCTGGCATCATGCCTATTAACCACTTTACATGGGAGAATCAACTCATTAATCCTGTCTTATCCTGAAAGATTTACCACGTATGATGCCACGTAAAGTACAGTGACAGGTTTTATCAGCTGAGGAGCAAGTGAGGATTCATAAGACAAGGGAGGAGAAAGGTATTCTCATGACTGAAGCCAAGTAGCTTAGTTTGTCTTTATTAGTGCCACCTTCTCAGTCTAATCCCCGAGCATACAAACCAGAGAAGGGCACAGTACCTGCTTAGGCAGCGGTGGAACTTTTGTGTAGTACCACCTGTGCGTGAAAGAGGGAGACCTTGCAGCACAGCATTAGACAGTTCCCTCCCCAGCAGCACTGCCGACCTTGTGCTCCCTCACTGTGCTCCGTTTAGCATTCCACCTGGACACCACCTCTCTTCATACAAGAAGATTTCAGCATGCAACGCAACTTGTAAGAAGATTACAAATCCATCCTATTTTATAGCAGATATCGGTGCTTAGTGGGTGCAAATTCCAAGTCTCACTTAACTGCAAACAGGTTAGACTTGAGATTTGCTACTGCAATGTTTCTCTGGTGTTTACCTGGCATGCCTGAGAAGTAGCAGCTCTGTTTTCAAGCTCAGAACATTTTGCAGTAAGAGTGGATAAATTACATTTTAACCGGTTCATTTCTTCTGATAGAGAATGAAGCCGCTGCTCCCTCCTCTCCACTTCCTTTGTTTTTTCCTCCAGCTGACTTTGTAATAAGGAGACTTCACTGTTCTTGGGTTTGGACCTAAGCTGGTCTTTCAGGTTTTGGATTTCTTTGTCCTTCTCTCCAAGAAGATGGCTGTGTTTTTCTTTTTCTTTTTCAAGGGAAAGTATTTTCTAAATGAAACAGAATAAAAAAGTAACTGTTATGTGTCAGTCTGTGCAACAAATGCATTAGCAAGCTTACAAGAGCTTGAGAAGATACTTTGAAAGGTTCTCTTTTAGCCTTTAAAATAGTTTCAGCTGATTAAACACACAAGAGAGATCATCACAATACTACAGTAATCATCTGAAATATTTCAAGGGATAGTAAAAAACGGTCTATTTAAGTAGATGAAACAAGCAAAGGATGCAAAAAAGCCTAAGTCTCACAGACTTGGGAGGTACTCAGTTTTACATATGAATACAGACCACTACAGTATGTGAACCTTACAACATAAGCAGCACAAGAACTCTAAAACATTTCCAGTGAAGAGGTTGGTGCTATATTTCTCGGTGCTCATTAGTATACTGAGCAGCTTTTAAGAAGCAGCAGAGCCTTCTTGCAACTACATGACAATAAGTGAAGTTAAAAAAAGAGTCATTATAGAAGTTTACAAGAGAAGGATCCCATTTTCCAAATTACCTGACCTTATAGTTTCAAAGTGTGTTCTAGTAGATATTTTCAACAGACACTTCCTTTCCAAAAGACCTCCAGCACAGGTAATTATTGCATAGGCTTAGTACTGCTTTTGAGGTACCCTGGGGCTCTATACAAACTTCTGTTATGGTAGCATTTCATTTTCCATGAGAAAGGTTGATGTTGAAATCCTATATGTTGCTATGAAGTTATTAGAAGATGACAGAGAAACTGAAAGAAATTTAATTTTAGACAGCCTCATTTAGGGAGTGGTTGAAGACTACCCAATGCTCACTAGAATGAAAATACTGAGACCAAATAGTACCTAGTACCTCTAAACACACCTCTGATTTTCCATCTATAACCTAGGAACCCAATATTAAGTAACCAAAACTGAGCAAACAGCAAACTTCACCTGAGATGGCAAATACAGTAAGGAATTCAGGCACAACAGTAGGTGAGCCATCCAGCCGTAGCTGGCACTTGGGTTAGTGCTTCTCAACAGATGCTGGAGCACAGTTGACCCTTACTGTCAACAGTAGTAGCCTAGAAATAACAGCGTGCCTAGTCCTCTGTTAGTTATAGCCTTTGAAAGGGTACATTTAAAGTTCCCCAGTCCTTCTGGGAAGCCTGATAATACGTGACCAAGTCACATACAACGTCCTGAACTTCCGTCTCTGCAACCACAGGTTTACCTTCAATGTGCTACAAGGCATGGAAATTGCAGCATCTTAGTTTCTGCTCTCTGGTTGTAACAGAATAATGCAGTGAACTGATTACAGTTTTATTTACCTGTAGCTCAGTATGAGCTTGAGAATACTGTTCAAGCAAACACTCAGCACTTTTAGGCACATTCGTAGGCAACCATTTGCAAACCCTATGTTCTTCTCAGGAAGCACTCAAAATAGTTCTCTGGGACCAACTGTTCCCAACAGCTGGCCACGTGAGGACAGGCCTTAACGGACCTAATGGGCACCTCTGGCCCCAAGTCCTTATATTTAACCGCTTTGTCAGATATTGTAATTATATTAGCTCAGTCATGGAGAAAAACTATTTGAGAACAGAAGTGTCTAACTAAGCCAGTAGCGACAGCAAAAAACCCAAAAAGTTCTAAGAGGAAGAACTTACAGAGGGCTGGTTATAAAGCCATACACAGGGACGCTGCCGTTTACCGCGCCCAGCGAGGCCGC